CTGGATGTGTGATCTGGTGAGAGCTGTTGCACGTGCTAGTAAGCTGGTGAAGTTTGTGAACGTGAATATTTCAACACCAATTGCTAACCTCGATCATGGCAGATGCGAGGCAAGGTTGTCTGAAAGTCCTCTTAAAGAGACATGAAATCTGCAACAGAAGATCAATTTTTTCCCTGTTTATGGTTCAATGCAAATCACATGTCTTCCTACAATTTGAGCGAGGAAAAGCTCTAAAAAGATGACAATTTTTGGACATAATTACTCAAAAATTTAATTATATTTGATCTCACCAGGTTGTCTCTCTTGTCTAGTGTAAATCATTTATGTTTATTTTCGTGTTCTTATTCTTCTTATTCATCGTTAAATTGATTTTTGATTGTGAATTTTAGCCAAATTTGGATGTCGTACAAAAATCAGCAATCATATAAATTATAAATCCCTTTTGACTTTAACCCGTTAACTTGGTATGTAAATTGAGGTGTCGAGTCAAGAAAATGTGTGACATGACATCTATGCAGAAATATTTCGAATGAAGCCCCTATTTGGTACACATTAAAATTTTCATTCTCATTATTCTACTCATTTTCAACCACATATCTTTCAATAAAATAATAATTTATATCACATCAACAACTTTTCCTTCCTTTTCAACCACACGTTCTCTATCAATCTACCATTCCAAAATACATTTTTCCAAAATAATGTGGATCAAACACACCCGAAATATATACTCTAAGCAAAGTTCATTACCTTCATTAGACTGGAGTCAAGATTTTTATTAAGAATATTCAAATTTCATCACAGTTTCTTACACGACTTGGTCGAGCTTCACTGGCAATAGAATGTTCCATATACATCGTCTTAGATTGCACTGGTTAAAAATAAAGAGAAATTTAAAGTTATAAAAAGATTAATACATTGGTTGTAAACAACACACGAAACATATGCCCCTGTTTGATCTATGTTATTATCTCATTAAAAATGAAAAATATGACCGTTATTGGGGCCCACATAAGAGATAGAAAATTTGAATTTAAATATTGATGTGATGGATAACGGTTATATTTTTCATTTTAATGAGATAATAATGTAGATCAAACGTGGGCATATGTTTCGTGTGTTGTTTACAACCAATGTATTAATCTTTTTATAACTTTAAATTACTCTTTATTAGGTGAAAGTATTTAAATAGTTGATGATTATTTGATGCTAAGCTTTACTGTAATGTCTCGTGGAAATAGAAAATTGTTTTTTTAGGAGGGAGAGAATAAAAAAAATGGGGGAAA